AATTGATAAATAATTAGATGTGTGATTTTGATATTGTGATGTAGGTTGGTGAGATTGAAGAAAATAAGCAAAAGTAGACAAATTTGGAGAAATGGCTAAATTGTAAGGGATCCAAAGTTCAGGGGCTAAAAAGTAAATACTTCAAAGTTGTGCCAAATCTCACGATGAAGATTTGAGAGTGCTCGGAGTCAATTGGATAAAGGAAGATGTCAAGGGGATCAAATTTAGTCAAAAGATGATCACAAATCAATTTCCAACCGAAAAGTTATGATCCGGTGTTTTAGTCTCATATTGAGACCTATTTTTGGCATAGGAATTGATCGAATTGGAGAATGATGTCTGAATTAAAGTTGTAGCCAGATGAGTTATCTTTCCAACGCATTTTGCATCACCTCAATAGGATATCGGAATACAAAGTTATCATAAAAATATTGAAGGAAGGTGCAGCTGTCTGTTTAAAACAAGAAATTCCGTTACATAGTCCGTTATATTGAGACCTATTTTTGGCATATAAAGTGGTCGAATTGGAGAATGATGTCTGAACCAAAGTTGTAGCCAAATGAGTTAGATTTCCAACGCATTTTGAATTGCCTCAATCGGACATCGGAATAGAAAGTTATGATAAAAACACTGAAAGAAGGTACAGCTGCCTGTTTAAAACAAGAAATTCTGTTACATAGTTCGTTAAAACAACAAATTCCGTTAGTTTTTCCGTTAAACCAACAAATTCCGTTAGATAGGCACTTTTTATATATAGAAAGATATATGGTCCTACCACCTATTGTAGTGTGCCACCTAAACACGGTATTTAGGAGATCATCACTATGTGAGTGTGTGCGCGCGCGCTCTCACCGGAAAACAAAGTCAATATTAATTTAAAGAGAGAATCGAAAATGAAAAGTGAAGCTGTGAGAAAAGAAAGAAAGATGAAAAACTGTGTCCATTGTAATAAGAGAAATGCTATTCATCCCCACTGGAGATGCATCCCCAGTCTATGTGGCGTTAATGTGTCATTAAATGATAGGTGAAATTAAATAAATCATTTAATTTCACATATCATTTAACCAATCATTTACATCCACATAGACTGGGGATGCATCCTCATTGGGGATGAATAGCATTTTTCTTGTAATAAAACAAGTTACAGGGCAAAACTTGTTGGCATATGCACACTCTGTATTGGTTTCAGAACCGTGCAAATATATAATCTCAAAGAGGCTATCTATTCCACCATTCTCAAAAACTGTTGTGATTCGTCAAGAGATTCGCCAAACAATTCTTCTTCAAAGTCATTCAAACCCAAGTCAATATCTGAGATTTTTAAATCTTTGTAAAGGTCATGATGTAGGATCAGTTCAAACCATTCAACATATAACCAAATTATGATGCATCATAGATTGAAGTATCTAGAAGAAGAAGCAGAATATCTGCAGCAGAAGAAGAAGGCAGCCAGAGGAAAAGAAGAAGACGAGAAGAAATGGGGGAAGGAGAAACCGGAGAGAAACAGGGGAGGAGAGTGGAGAAAACTTGATACACAAGCATACTATTTTTCATCATTCACATTACAAGACATATATAGAGGAAAATAAGCAAACCTAGAGAGAAAGGGGCTTGGGCCAAACCCATTATACAAGCCCAATAAAAACATAAAGCATAAATAAATGGCCCAACAGAGGATGTCCTCATCCCGTCATCTTCATCAAAGGTTTCAAGATGTTTTCTTCTGGAGGAACCTCCCTGAGTAATTATAAAGCCAAACATCACACGTGAAGTTAGTACTCATTTGGGTACAACGTTATAAGGAAATAACCAAAAAAAAACTGCAAATTCAAATGAACCAGACAGCAAATCATCATGCACAATCGTGCCACTTACACACTCCTGAATGCAACCAATCAATATATAGCATTCAATTTTATCGTCCCTCCAACATAACACCTGCAAATGTGTTGTACTTTGATCCAAACTAAAACATCTTCTTGTAATGTGAATTGAATGATAAAGATCTTTGCATCTTGATTGGTTAAATACGATACAAGCATAACAATAACTAAGAGAGAGATTATTTTTCTCAAAACTGGAAAACACTTTAGAGTAGCTCTCTTGAAACTCTTCGGCATGTTAAATTTTTAGTTTCCTATTATAACTCTCAGACTAATCTTTTACTATGCTTTCTGAATGCATGTAACCCAGTGTGGTAAATAGTGATTTAATTTGTGAAAGGAATCAGCAAATTACTTGGAAATATTTCTATTTAAACAGGAAGTTTAACTTTTGAAACTTCAAAAATTAAGCAGCAACTATCTCAATTAAAAAGCCAAACTTCGAATGCTGGATGAGAATCTGTGCTTTGACAATTAGTATTTGGAATTTGGTTCAGCTATAGATGGGTTGAAAAGGTTTTACGTTTGGGTAGATATTGTACTCTGACACCTTTAGTTACATACTGCCATTCTTTGGTGCTTTCTAGTATAAGTCTGCGTGTTAAAATTTCCACCAAAAAAAAAGGTTGAACAGAACAAAAAAAAACAGTAGAAACTAGAATAAGGGTAGTTAAATACCTTCTTGGCATTTCCCTTGTCAACCAACAACAGCCACAGGTAGCATAAATGCAGAGGAATTTGACCTATTACAGGATAAGTTCAGACCAGAAGATTTTGCAAAAAAGCACAGGCAAGTAATACTACTGGTCTGTAGAAATCAGCTAGTACTACTACCTGAAATGGGTTATACATTTAAGAAAATAACAAATTTGTGGAAGGAATGTATTTTTGCAACATTTACACGAGAAAAAGTAGTTCAGAAACTTCGTACAAAAATTTATATCTTTTCTCAGATGGGAAAAAAATGGAGATGATGATCATGTATGCACGACATGAAGTGGGTATTGGAGGGAAAACGTGAATTGAGGGATGAAAAAGAATCTTATTCAATCAAAATGAATCAGTACATTTACATGGTATTTAAATAGAATTAAAAGATTACTTTTTAACTAATTTAACTAACTAACTAATATCTCGAATGCCAGCTGTGAATTCTGTTATTCCAGCTCACCCTTCCAGCTCACTCCAGCTCGTATTACTCCCCCTCAAGATGGAGAGTGGAGGTTAAGGACACCCATCTTGGATAGTAAGGGAAACAGAAGAGAAGCAGGTAGTGCCTTAGTGAAGATGTCCGCCAACTGATGTTGTGTTCGAATAGGAAGAAGTTTGAGAAATCCATCAGTAAGTTTATCCCTGACAAAGTGGCAATCAATCTCGATATGCTTGGTACGTTCATGGAATATTGGATTCGAAGCAATATGGATGGCCGCTTGATTGTCACAGAAGATCAGTGCAGGAGAAGGTGGAGAAATTTGAAGATCAAGGAGCAATTGATTAACCCAAAGTAACTCACTGGTGGTAGAGGCCAATGTCCTGTACTCTGCCTCAGCAGGCGACCTGGAAATAGTAGTCTGCTTCTTAGCCTTCCACGATACCAAAGAATCCCCAAGAAACACACAAAATCCTGTCACGGATTTTCTTGAATCAAGGCAGGAACCCAAGTCGGCGTCTGCAAAAGCCCTCAACTGAAAAGAAGAATGTGTAGGAAATAGAATTCCTTGACCTGGGGTGGATTTTATATACCTCATCAAATGGTGGACTGCATCCAAATGTGGTTGCCTTGGTTGGGATACAAATTTAGTTAATTTGTGAACCGCAAACATGATATCAAGTCTCGTGATGGTTAAGTACAATAGGCGCCCAACTAACCGTCTATATAGTGATGCATCAGCCACAACATCACCTTTAAATGAGCTGAGACGACTCTTTGGATCCATGGGTAAAGAAGTGGGCTTGCAGGCCAAAAAGCCTATGTCTTCAAGGAGTTGAAGAGTGTAATGGAGTTGTGACAAGAAAATGCCTCTAAATGATCTGGCAATTTCTAAGCCCAAGAAATATTTCAGCTGCCCCAGCTCTTTCAGCTTGAACTCACTATGCAAGAGAGTCTTCAAAGTCTTCACTTCCTGAAGGTTTGGCCCTGTGATGATTATATCATCGACATACACAAGTAAGGCCACAAAAGAAGAACTAGTACCTTTGGTAAATAATGAGTAATCAGATTTGGACTGATTATATCCATTTCGGAGGAGAGCATTGGAGAATTTAGCAAACCACTGTCTTGAGGCCTATTTCAAACCGTAAATTGACTTGTGTAGTTTACATACTAGATGCTCCCCCTGTCTGCCAGAATTAACCTGTTTACGGTATCCCATTGGAAGCTCCATATAAATCTCCTCAAATAAATCACCATTGAGGAATGCATTATTGACATCGAGTTGTGTAATCTCCCATTTATTTGCTACAGCTATGGCCAAAAGAACCTTGACTGTTACCAACTTAGCCACAGGAGAAAACGTTTCAAGAAAGTCCAATCCCTCCTGCTGCGTGTAGCCTTTAGCCACAAGCCTTGCTTTGTACCGATCAATGCTTCCATCTGATTTACATTTGATCTTGTAAATCCACTTGCAACCTATGGAATGCTTTCCCTTAGGTAGGTTTGTAACAGACCAAGTATTGTTCAATTCCATGGCTTTTAGCTCACTGTACATAGCTTCCTTCCAATGAGAAAATTTTACTGCTTAGAGCCTGTTTGGTAGGGATTTTTGGGGGTATAATTAATTTTTGAATAGTGATATGATGNTTTTTGATGGAAGAATTGATTTTGAATAGTGATATGATGGGAAATGTGTGGTTGAAAAAGAAGAAAAAATTATTGATGTGATGGAAAATATTATTTTATTGAAGAATGTGTGGTTGAAAATAAGAATTGATTTACTGTAGAAAATCAAAATCCATACCAGACAGACTCTTAATGATAAAATTGGGGTGCAAAGGTAGAGGAAACGGAAAGAAGGAAATTGCTGTGAGTAGGGAAAAAGCAACTGTATGAGATCTATTTAGAAATGGGATAGGGTAATTTATCATCAAAAGGCTAGGAATTCCGTTGGAGATTGCAATGGAAATCTCTAAGGTATGAAGGTGGGATGCTAGTTCTGGAAGATCGTCTGGTAGGAATAAGATCAGCGGAAGAGGATTAGATGTATAAGAGGGAGGGTTGGCTAGCAAATTTGGAGAGTCACCTGCAGACTCAGGTGGGAGTTCAGGGGAGGACACACTTTGGGAATTTGTATCAGAAGTAGGATGAATAATTGGGATAGGAATAGAAATATCAGAAGCAGCCTTTGGCAGAACAAAGTCAGGAAATGGATCAACATTTGCTGAAGTATCAGTTATGGATTGAAAAGGGAAATGTTGTTCATGAAAAACAACATCCCTGAACACAAAGAATGTTTTCGAGACAATGTCATAGAGCTTGTAGCCTTTAATACCTGGGGGATAACCAAGGAAGATACAAGCTTTGGCTCTAGGGTGAAATTTGGATCCGTGGGATGAAAGAGTAGAGTCAAAACATAGATAGCCAAATACTTTTAAAAGAGAGTAGTCGACTGGAGAGTTATACATGAGCGAAAAAGGGGATTTATGATGAAGAATTGAGGTTGGAGTCCTGATAATGATGTATGCAACAGTCAAAACACATTCCCCCCAGAATCTGATAGGAATTCGGGTTTGGAAATACAAGGCTCTTGCAACGTTGAGAAGATATTGATGTTTCCTCTCAATAAATTACAGCTCAGGTGTATTATCAGATCTGAACTTTTTGATCGACTTATGGAATTGAGTTTCAATCATTTTGAAAAATCTGGGAATGATAATGAGGGCATCTAAATTATGTCTCATGAGATAGATCCATGTGAAAAGAGTGCAGTCGTCAACTATTGTTAGAAAGTACTTATATCCTGAATGTGTAGGGATATGGTAAGGACCCCATGTGTCGCAATGGACAAGATCAAAATTGTTAGTAGACATATGATTGTGAGAGGCAAACGACAGCCTTCTTTGCTTGGCCAATGGACAGATTTGACAAGGAACTGATACATTGTTCTTGTTTTTATTACAAACTATAGGTAATTGGTCCTTTAACAATTCCAATTTCTGAAATGACAAGTGACCAAGCCTGTTATGCCAAACATGAACATTTACATTGTTAACAGAAGAACAAACTGAAACACAGTTATTACTAAGCTTCAATACATCAAACGAGCTTTCTGTCATTATGTATAAATCAGCCAGTCTCTCACCCTTGTCAACCATCTTCTGGCTGTGCAAGTCCTGAATAAAACACAAATCAATAAGAAATTGCATTGCCACATGTGAATCTTTAGTCAAAGAACTCACTGACATCAGGTTGAACTTGAAGTCTGGCACATATAGCACATCCTTTAATACCAAATTAGGAGTCACTCACTGTCCCAATAAACTTAACAGGAATTCGTTCATGGTTTGGTAGAGTGATGAAAACATTTTTTACAAATTTCATATCTAGAAAGGCTGAATAATATGAACAAATATGGCTGGTGGCACCTGAATCAATAACCCAATGTGTAGGAGAATTAACCAACATGTTACTGGAAGTGGAAAAACAAGTACCTGATACTTGATTTGAGTGCAGACTTTCTGCGAGTATCCATCTTCGCAGAAGTCAAGTGGTTGCTCAGCATATTCATCAGTTGCTGGTACTGACCTTGATTTAAAGTCTGCATAAAATCCTCCATACCTCTCTGTTTCAGGTCTGAAGTACCCTCAGGAACTTGATTAGCACCGATGTAATTTGGTGATTTGTTTGCAGCAGGTTGAGCAACAGATTAAACTCTCTGTTTGCTCTTGAATCCAGGTGGATAACCGTGCAACTTGTAGCACTTATCCACAGTATGACCAGCATAACCACAATAAGTGCACAGAGGTCTCTCCTTCCTTGACAACTTATTGTGCACTTGCCCATTGCTACTCCTTTTAACATCATTTCTGGCATAAAATGCCATTGAATCACCAGCTAATCCAGTGGCATTCGAAGTAGCAATAACACTCCTTTGATGTTCTTCTTGAGAGACAAGAGAAAACACCTTGTTAATAGGGGTTATAGGATCCATAAGCAATAATTGACCTCTAAACTGAGCAAATGAATCATTTAAACCCATCACAAACGACATCACGTATTCTGTCTGGTAATGATCAGCTTTCTTCTTAGATCCACCACAGCTACAACTTCCACATGAACAAACTGGTCTATAGTTGCTTAATTCTTCCCGGATTGTCTTCAATTTTGTAAAGTATGTACTCACAGTCGACTGACCTTGAGTGTGATTCATCTGTTCGCGCCTCAATTAGAAGATATGTGGTCCATTACGCTGTTGGTACCTCTCCTTCAAATCGATCCAGATATCATGAGCAGATTCAAAGTAAATCACACTAGCTGAAATCTCCTTATATACTGAATTAAGTATCCACGAAACAACAATGTTATTATTTCGGATCCACTGGGTGAGAAGATCATCATCATCTTTAGGCCGAATTATAGATCCATCGATGAATCCTATTTTATTTTTGACTGACAACGCAATCAACATAGATCTGCTCCATGAAGTATAGTTCTCTCCAGTTAATGGCTGAGATACAAGGATCAGCCCTGGATTATCAGAATGGTGAAGGTGGTAAGGATTTTGGTTATCATCAGTGAAGGAATTTCCGGAATTTCCACGAATGAAAGCTTCAGTTGCCATGACGATTCTGATCGGAATTGAATTCAGAAATGATCAGCAACAAAGGAGTCGGAATTGAAAAGGAATCGGAATGGATTTGGAATTGATTTTCAGAGTTTAAGCAAAAGAAAGCTCTGATACCATATTGGAGGGAAAACATGAATTGAGGGATGAAAAAGAATCTTATTCAATCAAAATGAATCAGTACATTTACATGGTATTTAAATAGAATTAAAAGATTCATTTTTAACTAATTTAACTAACTAACTAATATCTCAAATGCCAGCTGTGAATTCTGTTATTCCAGCTCACCTTTCTAGCTCACTCCAGCTCGTATTAGTGGGAAATAATTCTAGACCATTACTGTTGAGCAATAACGTTTAAGCCATTCAAGCTCAATTAATTGGATAAGCAGTGATTTGTCGAAACCAGTTGAACAAGGAGCCTCCAGTGCCGTTGGGGACGTTGAAGCCACACGTGCATAGTGAGTTGAAATTAAATTGTTATATAAAAGAATTTTCACATTAGAGTTACCTTCTCGCTGAGAGAGTTCAAGAATCTCTTTCCACTAAATTTGTCAACATCAGAAGCCATATGATCCACTGCAACCTCTGTTATACTATAGTCTATTGGTGGCAATGAATGATAAGATATTCTCTGCTCTTCCTTTTCCAGACTTATTGAACCTATTTCAGGATTGCAGCTTGAATAACCCGCTGAAAAGAATGACCAAACACTTGAAAGCTCGGCTGCAGAAGGGCATCCAGAATAACAATTGATTGGCTGTTGTTTATGGCCTGCAGCTGAAGCAGGGGCAGCATGTGAAGACCAGTTGCAGTTTTGACAGAGTGAGATCTCCTCTTCAATGCACCTAACTGCTGCAGGCTGAGAATTGCACCTTTCACATACAAGAGTTCTTGAATGACGACTAGATAGGGCATTGGCAGAATGAATATTGCGATCACAAGATAAACAGAGGCAAGCAGCATCAGACCTACAATACACCATGGATCTTTGCTCCCCGCAGAAATCACATAATCGGCCCATTTTCTTCAACCACTATAGTTCTGACCTTTGCAAGCATCACTAATTACAGAAATCAGTATCGAAATATGATTCTTGTAGGCTTGTAGCAACTAAGAGTCCATCAAACCTTCTTACTTAGCATTACAAAACCCAATTGTTAACTTAATGCGTATATCCGGAAGACTGTCCCATAAAATAAGAACCAAAATTGACCACGGCCATAAAACCAAAGCATTGTTTTTTGCCAAGAAAAAAGATTTACAGTGCTGAGATTTTAACATTTAACGTCAAGAGGAACTCTGGAAAGAGCTACAAAACAGCCTAGTCGCAAATACAATTAAAAAAAAAAAATCATTTTTCCACTGAACAACAACCTCAGAACGAGCTTCCAGCACCAGCAACTATTTTTTTAACACGAGTAAATTTCAGAAACGTATGTTCTAAATTTTCATTTTCGGACTTTTCAATAGTCTGCTAGTGAAAAACAGGAGAGCAATATACCTAGACCGTCTTCAACAACAGAGGATAATAAACGGCAAAAAAAAAAAAAAAAACACAATTATTGTTCACAACTGTGAATAATTCAACTACTGCTGAACAGAAATACACAGAAAATAAATGAAAACATACAGTAGAACACGTGAATACCAGAATATGAAAAATCGATGACGTTTAGAACAGTGAAAATGGCAGCTAGGAGAAGTTCTTGTCGCCTTGTGATGATATATAAAAATGTGGGTGTAAACGGGTAATATGCTTATGTGATAAAGCGATGTCGTATTGCTGATGATTTTTGTACAACCCCCTTTCTTGCTCTCAACTCCCACCTATTCAACAATTATACATGTTTGGCTAACCTTATAAGTTACTCGAGCGTGTTGAAGTAATTATTTGTTTTTAAAAGTGTAAATAATTTGTTATTCATGGTCGATATCTTTCTGAACCAACATTTTAAACAACATGGAGGGGTTAGGAATCTAGTTCCTTCTCCCACTTCGATAATGGAATTAATTGTGTATGAATAGCTTTTAGAATAGAGTTGTGTCGTTGCCACATCAAATGTCAAATCGTATTGTTTTGATTTTTCAAGGAAAAAAATAAGTTTGACCCGTTAGCGTGACTACGTCACTCAACAGGTGAGCATTATAACTCTTCTTCACTGTGGACAAGATATCATATCTATTATATAGAATTTCATTGTTGGTGACATGTCTTGCAAAAGGTTGTGACCACATGTGATAGGTGTTCTTATTTCCTTGATATATGGCACAAATAAAGTATGTGATTGATTGAAACCCCTTGCAATACGGTCTTACTCTATAAGGTAGTGGAACACGATTACTTGTAGTCAATTAGGTTGATGCTAGATCATGTTGAAAAGGAATTCTTCTCCTCTTGATTGTCCAATCTTTAATTGCAGTCATATAAGATTCTTCGATCATATTGGATTCTTGACATGTTTGAGTGTCAGAAGCCTTTCCATCCTGTTAGCAATCTAGGATGAATAGTTCTTCAACATGGGTTATTTTATTTGTTTTCTTCTTGGGAAAATTGCACTTGGGTCCCGAACCTTTAAAGGTTGTGACAATGGGTACCGGAACTTTGATTTTTAGCACTCGAGGTAGGGATGGCAACGGGGCAGGGATGCCCTCCCCGTCCCCCGCCCCATTAAGAAATTCATTCCCCGTCCCCGCCCCGATCCCCGTTTAAGACGGGGCGGGGCGGGGCGGGGCGGGTTTATTCCCCGTTTAGTTTTTTTTTTTTTTTTCACATACAAGAGTTCTTGAATGAAGACTAGATAGGGCATTGGCAGAATGAACATTGCGATCACAAGATAAACAGAGGCAAGCAGCATCAGACCTACAATATACCACGGATCTCTGCTCCCCGCAGAAATCACGTAATCGGCCCATTTTCTTCAACCACTATAGTTCTGACCTTTGCAAGCATCACAAATTACAGAAATTAGTATCGAAATATGATTCTTGTAGGCTTGTAGCAACGAAGAGTCCATCAAACCTTCTTACTTAGCATTACAAACCCAATCGTTAACTTAATGCGTATATCCGGAAGACTGTCCGATAAAATAAGAACCAAAATTGACCACGGCCTAAAACCAAAGCATTGTTTTTTACCGAGAAAAAAGATTTACAGTGCTGAGATATTAACATTTTACGTCAAGAGGAACTCTGGAAAGAGCTACAAAACAGCCTAGTCGCAAATACAATAAAAAAAAAAAAAAAAATCATTTTTCCACTGAACAACAACCTCAGAACGAGTCCAGCAACTATTTTTTTAACACGAGTAAATTTCAGAAACGTATGTTCTAAATTTTCATTTTCGGACTTTTCAATAATCTGCTAGTGAAAAACAGGAGAGCAATATACCTAGACCGACTTCAACAACAGAAGATAATAAACGGGGGAAAAAAAGAAAACACAATTATTGTTCACAACTGTGAATAATTCAACTACTGCTGAACAGAAATACACAGAAAATAAATGAAAACATACAGTAGAACACGTGATTACCAGAATATGAAAAATCGATGACGTTTAGAACAGTGAAAATGGCAGCTAGGAGAAGTTCTTGTCGCCTTGTGATGATATATAAAAATGTGGGTGTAAACGGGTATTATGCTTGTGGGATAAAGCGATGTCCCCTTTCTTGCTCTCAACTCCCACCTATTCAACAATGATACATGTTTGGCTAACCTTATAAGTTACTCGATCGTGTTGAAGTAATTATTTGTTTTTGAAAGTGTAAATAATTCGTTATTCATGGTCGATATCTTTCTGAACCAAAATTTTAAACAACATGAAGGGATTAGGAATCTAGTTCCTTCTCGCACCTCGATAATGAAATTAATTGTGTATGAATAGCTAATAGAACAGAGTTGTGTCGTTGCCACATCAGATGTCAAATCGTACTGATTTGATTTTCTTAAAAAAAAAAAAAAAGTTTGACCCGTTAGCGTGACTATGCCACTCAACGGGTGAACATTATAACTCTTGTTCACTGTGGATAAGATATCATATCTATTATATAGAATTTCATTGTTGGTGACATGTCTTGCAAAAGGTTGTGACCACATGTGATAGGTGTTCTTATTTCCTTGATATATGGCACAAATAAAGTACGTGATTGAATGAAACCCCTTGTAATATAGTCTTACTCTATAAGGTAGTGGAACATGATTACTTGTAGTCAATTAGGTTGATGCTAGATCATGTTGAAAAGGAATTCTTCTCCTCTTGATTATCCAATCTTTAATTGCAGTCATATAAGATTCTTCGATCATATTCGATTCTTGACATGTTTGATTGTCAGAAGCCTTTCCATCCTGTTAGCAATCTAGGATGAATAATTCTTCAATATGGTTATTTTCTTTGTTTTCTTCTTGGGAAAATTGCACTTGGGTCCCGAACCTTTAAAGGTTGTGACAATGGGTACCGGACCTTTGATTTTTAGCACTCGAGGTTCTCGATCTTACAAATGTGTGTGATGAGTCCTTTTGTGACGGAAACGGCAGTTTGACTGTTAAAGAGACAACTTGACAAGATCGGTACTGCAACATCAATTGTCCTTATGTCATTTAGAAAGAGTAGGTTTGACTTTGATATGCATAGAATGGAATGTTCTGATTTTTGGAGAAGATCATGGTGCAGTGTAAGGATTTTTGGAGAAGATCATGGTGCAGTGTAAGCATATTCTTAACATCTCAAATTTTTACTGACGGTTTTCACGTGGGCTTAAATTTAATGTTGGTCATTTAACAAACAAAATAATTTATGTCTAACCTTGTCATCACACTAAAGTTCAAAAGTTGAAGTGATAAGCTCAATCCACTTATTTGCATAAAAGATTTTATCGTAACTTTTATTTGGGTCGAATATTTAAGTATTTTAGAAATTGATAAAATATATCAAAATTATGCTCATTTTTGTAGCTCATATTAAATTACATAAATTGAACTCAAGAAGAGGTAATTCTTAACTTGTTATGCCCAAGTAGAAATAAAATGATTATCTTCTAATATTTTGTTAATATATATATAATATAAAAATAACATTTTAGAAAAATGTGTACGCTCAACTATTTAATATAAAACATTAATTTCAATTTGAGCCCCCATTTGTCTACCATTAATCCAAAAAATTGTTTGCTACAGTAAGATTCTCCACCATACATTCACCCAATAAAATATTCTACACATAAACCAATAAAATTACTTTAAATTTCAACCACACATTCTCCAAAAAATACTATTCATTACTCCATTTTCCTCTCCATAATGGTAGATAAACAGGCTCTTANGGCCCCTCAGTGATGGGTGGAGGTTAACCGTGGGATATGCCCAAGTTGACCAGGGTCTGTGCACCCTTTATACTCCTGACCCCAAGAGAGCCTTCCTCCATGACTTGAGACGTTTTGGCATTTTGTTTTGCGTGTTTGATTAATTTCATGTTTATGTACATATAATTAGGATAGTATTTTCACTTTAAAATTTTACACCATTTCATTCTTTGTAATTTCACTTCACACGTACACTGTTGAGAAAATTACGCAACTTCATTATTTGCATTCTCAGATATCTTTGAGTATCAACTTAGGTAAGAATACTTTGTGCATGTGGAAAATTCTTATTTTCTTGATGTTTATATAAATTTTGGCTTAAAATACTCTTTAAGGCATTTGAATTGATTTTTATGTAAATCTTACGGGATAGACCGTTAGGTCGAATATGTAAATTTTACGGGATATAAGAATTCTTAAGATATTTTTTGAGCTATTAGATATTGCAACCAGTTTGCTCTAAATCTAAGAAATATTGGTATGTTATGTCATTTTATATTTATATCATGTTAATAAGAATATGTACGTATTTTTACTGAGTGTTTTTAAAATATGCATTCCTACAACAACTTTTCAAATTAGAATGGGTCATGTGGACGCGTAGAAGATTTGATCAAGTGATGTTTATGGGATTGCCAATTAAAATGTTTAGATTTTTTATTTTAGATATTTTGGCAATTGAGCTTTTTCGACATGTTAAACTTTACAGTTCAAATTCGTAGTATTATTTCTTTTTTAAAATATATATGAAAAATTTTCATTTCAAGTTGATGAATTAACATTCTCAATCAAATCCCAAGATTTATGAAGTAGTGTTAAATTTCCGCTTAAGTTAGATAAAGAAGATTTTGGTGACACTTCAGGTTCATTTTTTAAAAATAAAAAATAAAAAAGAAATAGATTTTGGGGCGTTACTCATATGCGGCCTGGAAATTCCTGAAGCTTTGTCTAGAGAGACTTTTTGTATCATTTTACTGTTTCGAATGTTACTTTTTTCAATTTTGTTAGGGCCGGTTTGGTACCGATTAAAATCCAATTAAAATTGAAAATATAAATGTTATTGGGCCCCACTAGTCTAATAAAAGTCAACAATAACGGTTAGTTTTTCAATTTTAATCTAATTTTAATCTCTACCAAACGGGCTCTTAAGCAGTAATCACAGTGATCAAGAGTTTCAAGATTAGTTTCACATTTTTTTATCGTTTAAAGATGGAATTTTACGATTTTCATTATCAAATTCATCTTCCCTGATCCCCATGGAAAATAACAGTTCACATTTTGCAGAGATGAGCTGAGAAATGTTATGCACAAGTTAGGACTTCTGATTTTTCCTGTTTGATATTTATGTAATCTGTGCTAGTGAAATAGAAGCATTACAATCGTGTTACTCCATTGGGTTTGTTGCCGACTGGCCCCCGGAGTCACTAATCGTGTTACTACTATTGATCACATTACTGTTTATACTCTCCAGGTACTTGACTTGTTCGATACAAAGCACAACGGGATTTTAGACATTGAAAGTTTCCTAGGCCATGATGTTGCAATTTTATCAAAGGGCTTATGTAGTCATGGTGCTCAAACAAGTCAATTTTCCAGACACCAATCTCTAGCTCAGCAGTGGTGGAACCAGAACCCGACGAGGCATGGAGGCCACCTGTGCTGGCTCCACCGAAATTTTTTTTTATCATATATTGGGTGGGCATCGAGCATCCGTCCTAACTTAGATGGAACTGCCATAGCTCAAATGAATTCCTGGATCCGCCACTGCATGATCATGTGTGCGCTCTAAAAGGAAAGCTCTCGACTGCTTGGTTGCAGCAGGAGTTGTTGAATTCTTGAGTTTGTAGCTGAATGTCGACATTCTGATTTCTTGCTTAAAAGAGTCGTTCCTTTATTTTTTATATTCTAAATTTGAAGTTTGAACCATCGGTCTTTATCATTTTCTGGTTTCCGTTAATTAAAAAGAAGGAATGTAGAGTGCAGAAATTGTTTGACAACTAGGACCGTTTACATTCCTATCAAATATGATTTTTACCTGAAGATTAGATTGCTGTATTTGAACTTGTTTTTCTATTTACTTCTTGATTAGTACCATTTACTTCTATATATCATAATATAAATTATGTTTTCTCAAAACAGCGTCAATATCAGTTTGAATAAATCAATTATGAACAAACCACACTTAAATATCGGATTTGTGAGTAAACAAACTCCAAATAAATTAATTAATAACAAAAATATAGTTGTAGGTGGCTGACTTTAGAGATGTAATAATTGTCGTACGTAAATTCCCTGGTCGAACTTCATATTCTCTCACTTTCTACGTAGTATTAGACATTGCTACAATACAATGAATGAATTTTAATGTTTTATTTCTTCTTTAATCCAATGTGCGGAGTACCATTTACTTCTATATATCATAATATATATTATGTTTGCTCAAAAGGTGTCAATATCACTTTGAATAAATTTTTGAATAAATCAATTATAAACAAACCACACTTAAATACCGGATTTGTAGAGTAAACAAACCCCAAATAAATTAATTAATAACAAAAATATAGTTGTAGGTGGCTGACTTTAGAGATGTAATAAGTGTCGTACATAAATTCCCTGGTCGGACTTCATATTCTCTCACTTTCTACGTAGTATTAGACATTGCTACAAAACAATGAATGAATTTTAATGTTTTTTTCTTCTTTAATCCAATGTGCGGAGTACCATTTACTTCTATATATCATAATATAAATTATGTTTTCTCAAAAGGGTGTCAATATCACTTTGAATAAATCAATTATAAACAAGCCACACTTAAATACCGGATTTGTAGAGTAAACAAACCCCAAATAAATTAACTAATAACAAAAATATAGTTGTAGGTGGCTGACTTTAGAGATGTAATAATTGTCGTACCATACTGCATTGGTTTCGTCATTTGGAATATTTCAGGTAAATTCTCTGGTTGAACTTCATATTTTCTCACTTTCTACACAATATTAGACATCGCAACAATACAATGTTTTTTTTTCTTCTTTAATCCAACGTGCGGAGTACCATTTACTTCTATATATCATAATATAAATTATGTTTTCTCAAAAGGGTGTCAATATCACTTTGAATAAATCAATTATAAACAAACCACACTTAAATACCGGATTTGTAGAGTAAACAAACCCCGAATAAATTAATAAATAACAAAAATATAGTTGTAGGTGGCTGACTTTAGAGAAGTAATAATTGTCGTTACCATACTGCATTGGTTTCGTCATTTGGAGTATTTCTGGTGAATTCACTGGTCAAACTTTGATATTCTCTCACTTTTACGTATTAGACATCGTTAAACAGTACAATGAATGAAGTTTAACATTTTTTTTCTTCTTTAATCCAATGTGCCGAGTACATGGTACATATGGTTATACTAATCTCAGTTATCTCAATTTTTTGGTACTGAGTCAAATTAACGTGAAGTTTCTTGGTGAGTTCTTGTTATTAACAAAGTAATCAGAAATTCAGAATGTTGTTTGCTTACGTTAGAGAGCTAATCCAAGAAAAGTCAACCCTTTAAATTTTATTTAATTCTTCAAACTCTAAGCATAAATTAAAAATGGATGTTTTGGGTTCATTGCATCGTCCTCTTCTGGGAGTCTTTCATAATTTCATTTCCATTTCCTCTGCTCCTCAGGTATGCAAAATGCTTGAAGATTCTTACAAAAATTTGATGTTTATGTCTTTCTGCAACATCCAAAAGCTAAACTGATCGAACAATGATTTATGATCCTGCAGTTCCGTAATATCTACAGTCATTCAATCCTTGGAACAATTTTCAGTAGAAGAAACTGTGAAAGCTAAATGGGAGGAAAACAGACTAAATATAGCAATTATAACCACAGCAATTCATTTAGTTATGGATCACAATATTGCCCTTCGCCTCAATATTCGTGGAAATTCCATGTACTCGAATGGAACGAAGTTGCCCTCAAAATATAGGAGAATTGATGACAACTACAAGTCTCTTGAAAAGGTACTATCTCTATTGCATTTCTTTTCTTTGAGCTGGTGATTCATATATATGACGAAGCTTCTAATTCTGTTTCTGGATGAAAATTTAGATATCATCTCAGTAAGATAATTTGCAACAAGTTTTATTTCATGTCATGCCTGATTGTGAATGTGTTCAGCAGAAACTCGGACTTTGTTTCGTTGGTGTCTAATTATCAAGATTAATGGGTTGTTTGACAAAGATATTGATAAAAGTTTTAACAGATTTTGATAAAAGTTGATAAAATGTAAAGTCGAAAACTGATAAAAGTTGTGGCCCCATGTAATGTGTTAATATTAATTGTTTACATCAACTTTTTAAACTTTCCCAAACAAGTACAAAGTTTCAACCATATCCTCAGGTGAAAGAAGCTCTTGCTCAATCTGGTCTGGAGTCGTCCAACCTCATCATTGGAATAGACTTCACGAAAAGTAATGAATGGACGGGAAAACACTCTTTCAACCAGAAGAGCCTGCATCATATTGGTGAAGGCTTAAATCCATATGAACATGCCATTTCAATTATTGGAAGGACATTATCAGCTTTTGATGAGGATAACCTTATTCCTTGTTTTGGCTTTGGTGATGGTATGCATTACTGGATCTTTTGTATATACAAAAAGAATTAAGCCGATTTTGAAAGTGCATTAGGATGATATTACACGCATATTTCTAACCTTTAATATAATTTTGCAGTAACTACGCACGATCGAGATGTATTCAGCTTTTATCCAAATAACAAGCCCTGCAATGGCTTTGAGGAAGTACTATCTCGTTACAGAGATATTGTTCCAAACGTTAAGTTAGCAGGTTGGTCAATCTACTTATTTAATTTACAAATTACTAGTGATTTTATTTCTTTATGAGAAATGGATTTCTGTTTGTCTAGGGCCAACATCATACGCCCCGATAATTGAAACGGCTATAGGAATAGTTGATCAGAGTGGAGGTCAGTATCATGTTCTACTGATCATCGTTGATGGGCAGGTTAGTTTAGGCATTATGTTGTGTTTCTGTTTTAGTTTTCTCATTTCCAGTCGACCCCCAAGACGATTGAATATTATTATCGACTAAGGTCTCTAGTCTGACATTCTTAAAATAATGAAGGTGACACGAAGTGTGGACACCAGCATTGGCCAGTTAAGTCCACAAGAGAGAAGCACAGTTGACGTGATTGTTAAAGCAAGGTTGCATATTTTGAATGAATAGTTTCCCTCACATGAATATCAGGTTTATGATAAACATTTTTCAGTGATGTATTATCGCCATTGCAGTGATTATCCATTGTCAATAGTCTTGGTTGGAGTTGGTGATGGGCCATGGCACACCATGCAGAAGTTTGACGATAATATTCCCGCCAGGGCTTTTGATAATATTCAGGTTAGAACTGGTCCTTCAAGCATCCTCAAGCCCTGCATTATTCATGCTCAACATGTTGAACTGTGTGGAATGTAACCTTCCTGTTTCCAGTTACAGAAATTACCTATTTTTCGTTCAAGGGTATATTACGTATTCCACATCTATATTCAATCGCCCTCTTATTCGTACAGTATAAAATTGATCTTTAGAGATTCATTTTCTGTGACAAGACTGTGAGGCACAAGATCACTGTTGTAATCTTCATTTTAATCCATAATAGTAAAAACCCGTAGTGTCTAGTCTAGTAGACGTGACATTCATATTGAAAGTAAACCATTATAAATCTGTGTTTTTGCTTGTTTCGTCTCCTTTTTTGCTATCTACAAACAAGGAAATCACCATTTCATCATTCTGTGGAACGCAGTTTGTTAACTTTACAAAAATCATGGTTAGAAAAGTCCCTTTATCCCAGAAGGAAGCAGAATTTGCTTTGGCTGCATTAATGGAAATTCCCTTACAATACAGAGCAACATTGGAGCTCCAACTTCTTGGGTGTGTATACTTCTATTTTAGTTTCTTGCCTAATGGTGAAAGAAAAATCAAGAATCTTAAAATGCTAACTGCAATTCCTTTTGCAGCAACAGGAGAGGAATACCTGCAAAAGTTCCTTTACCACCTCCATCAGTGAACTTCAGGTCATCAAATCCCCCTGCAAATTATTTCCAGTCGGCCAGCTTTGAACAATATTATACAGCTTCCTGTCCACCATCTCCCACTCCAACAGAAAGTTCATCTAATAGGGTACGTCTCTACTCATGTAGTTTTGTTTCATCGCCTGTAATTTAGTACTCAGATGAGTTTGTTTTCCTGATTTCTTGATGATTCAATGCTTCACAGAACTGCCCGATTTGTTACTGGCACAAGCGAGATCTTGCATTTGGATGTGGACATCAGGTAAGCAGAAATGAGAACGCGGGATTTGAAGTCTTAAATTCTTGCTTCATCTAGTTCTTAAACTTCATGCTGATCTTTGCAGACGTGCTATGACTGTGGTAGAGACTTGTCCCTGTGCCCGATCTGTCGTGTGCAGATAAGCACCAGGATAAGGCTTTATGAGTGATGTTTCAAAGTTTCCAATGCTGTGAGCATTGATATGGTGGAATTGTTTGTGAACATGAAGTCTTCCAATGTTTGTATGTCTACATCTTCTGGAATATATTGAATAAAAACTCTGCCCGTTTGCGGAGGCCATCCCTGGTCGAGCTACAGCCGGCCCGGCTCCGCTATTTTGACACCCCTAGCAGTCGTTGAAGAATTTAATGGAAGTATCCATAATTAACCATAAGAAGAGACATATTAAAGCAAATTCTTGCAAGTTTCATTCACTATCACAATTCACAATAA